ACGCCGAGTCTGAGCGAAATGGCAAGTGATAGAGAACTTCTGTCAAGCAGAGTCCCGATATTGGCTGAAGGAAGAGCTTGCAGCCAGTAACCAGACTCTACTTGAAAGACAGCTAGGAGGCGAGCACGCTCAGCTGCGTTTTCAGAGGAAGCTAGAAGATCACTCTGAAGACGCAAACAGAGTGGCTCGTCCCATTGCCTCTGTGAAAATAAGGAGGAAGGTATATCTACTCCCGGGCATGCCCTGCACCAAGCATTTCTGGCCTCTGCAAGGTGAGCCGGCTCCACTACGCCTAAAGAAGGACATAGTATTTTATTAAAAAGCTCGGCTGTACCATTTGCAGAAGACAGAAAAGAGGGAAGGGCAATATGTGAAATATGGCGAGTACCAAGTCCTCCGAAACGAACAGGGAGAGAGGCCTGCTTCCAGGCGTTATCAGAAAATGAACAATTTAGAATTTTGGAAAGTGTATCCCTGAGCGAACTGTCAATAGATGACAGTAGCCCTGGAAAAAGCCAAAAATGAGTACTACGTAAAAGATATATGAATTTTGGGGCAAAAGCGCAAAAACGTATTAAATACAAAGCCATGTGAGGATTAATTTTTAACATTTTTTCGGAGGACTGCTGAAATTTAGAAATTTGTTCATCAATAAAAATCGGAATAGCATCGTCAAATATGGGGGACCCTAGGAGACGGAGTGATTTATTATCTAGAATTTTAATATTAGGAGCTAAAGCCGAAAATTCGGTAATAATGCGTTGTAACTGATCCTGTGAAAATTTTGATTCTGGTATAAATAGTTCGCATTTTGAATAATTTAGATCAAGGCCAATATTTTTAAATTTATCAATAATTATGTGAAAATCTGAAAGAACTGTTGAAATATCGCCAGCGATAGTTCCGTCATCAAGGTACCACACATTAAATTTTGAATTTAGCGAATCAATAATAGGTTGTATTGCCAAACTAAAGATAGCGGGCCCGAGAGGATCGCCTTGCTGACAGCCAACAGATGAATGCAACAGGTTGTTTTTAAAAATAAGTTTAGTCGGTTCGCTGTAGCATTGCCAAAGATATTTATAAATAGTGGGCGTTTTTTCTTTAATTACTGTAAGCAAGGCACCTCTATCTACGGAGTTGAAGGCATTCTTGACATCCACCTTCAGCACCACCTCCGCAGCGTCAAGTGAAAAATAAATATTATATTGAGAAACTATAAATTATTTGTAGTATACAAGCCATTTAATCGTGTTATAGTTATTTTGTAAATGGCACAGAAAACTAAATTGTGTATCCTATATTTCCATACACATAATGAACTGTATGTGTACCAAATTTCAACCTTATCCGTTCAGTCGTTTTTACGTTTTTGAGTATCAAACATCTGAATATGCAAACTATCATATTATCACTTATAATATTAGTTGGACTTAGTGACCCGGCCTCGCTTCATTATTTTCGTTCGCTTCGTTTTTGTTCCGCGGTTCAAAAGATTGAAACATAGACACTAGGAGCGAATTCGCTTTATACTATGTATATACAGTGGAGCCCCGGTAATCCGGCCCCTGGCTAATGCGGCACCCCCTTTAATCCGACATCGTCTATTACATACAAGTATTCGCTAATTCACGATTGAACAGAAAGTTACAACTTATACGCACCATCACTATTTATTATTATTACTTTTATAATAAAACGTAATATTTCTACTGTGTTGTTTAATTTACTAAATTTGACATACATAAAGAAGTATGATTTGTAATCTTATCATTGGATCTGTAATTTGTCGGATAACAAGGTATTCTTTTGTAAAAAAATTCGGACTATAGGGGGTCTTAGGCAGTACTCTATAATCCGACAAATTCGATAGTTCGACACTGCCCCGCAAAATGTTTGTCGGACTACCGGGGATCCACTGTATTCGGATTAGTTTTCGGAAACCATCGATAAGCGTCTCCTTCACGTGTCGTGTACACCCAGCTTTACGTAATTGCATCATCTACTACGCAAAGTTCCGTCAGCGCATCTCTGATATAACAATAATAGTCATCATAATTCGTAATTTATTGCGCCTCAGTCTGTCTCATTATAAAAGTATTGTTATACAAAAATAAAACAACTCTATTTGTTACTTCTATTAGTATACTGAGATATTGGTGTCGATTCTGGCACGATTCTCTAAATCTAAACTTAAATTTGACAACACAATGGTGTCGATTCTGGCAGGATTCTCTAAACTTAAAACTAAATTTGACATCAGTCTGTCCTTTTGAGTCTGTATAGAGAATGACAGAGATACACTGTTGCCAAATTTAAGTTTAGCTTTAGAGAATCATGTCAGAATCGACACCACTATCCTTGTCATTCTCTATACAGAATGAAAAGGACAGACTGATGTAAAAGGACAATGTTAAAATTGGCCTAAGAACCAACACCAATTTGGCATTTATGATAATTCTTAGTATATTTTTTGCGATAATTATCAGTATTTAGATTGTGACGGACACTTCCAGTTAAGTAAGCTAAATTAAAAAGTTAAAAAAGAATCTGACAATAAGTACCATTTTATGTGTATAATCTATGACAGCGCTGTAAACAAAACACTATTTCTTCCTAATGCTGGCACTTCACTTGGCTTAGTTTTCCAATTACAGAGCATAATGCGACTCAGTGGCGCACAATGCCGAATTATAATGATGCTTAATTGGAACGTGAATTAGTTTTCAAATGCACCAGCAGAGTGCGCTAAGTCAATGTTTGTACCTTCATCCATACTTATATTTATTTTTTTAACACAGTTTGAATTAACTTTGATTATTTTAAAAGAACTACAATGAAACGAAAGCTTTAAAAATTTTTCAACAAAACTTAAAGAAAAAACACTTGTTAATTTTCTGTCACTGAGTTGGTAGATTGCACGCATCACACGAAAACATTAGGTACTTTTGAGAGTGCTCGATTGTGCGAAGCGTTGCTGTAGTTGAAATATTCAACGATAACCATTATGCCGCATAATTCGCTCTAGTGCTGTAATTGGAAAACCACCCTTATTAAGCATGACAAGGACAAACTGTTGTCAAGTGAAGGGCCGGCATAAAACTCGTTACTCTGTGGTTGTGGTGCAGGCAGTTTGCATTCGTAGTAATCTGTGGCATTCGTGCATTCCAAAGAGTAGTTTAATATACCGGAAAGTGCATTCTCGTTTCGGATTACCTGTTGTGTGTGTTTATTTGCGATTGTTTTTCCTTTAATTTAACTATTTTGGCTATCTAATATGTCATAAATGTTACCAAAGAGAAGAGCCCTTATTACCAAGTGCTAGTGAACCTGTGCCACAACATCCTGAGAGGATCATACTGCTTAATTATTCAAGAACACAACATCCGATACACATTCACGCTGCATATTTACACAATATACATGTGATATACAAATAAATACAATATACAATATTATACAACTACGTGAAAAATAGTCAATAATTAAGAAGCAAAACTACAGTTTTTATTTTTTTCATGATTCCTACCTAACCAAGTTTTTCCTAATAGATATTCTTTAAAATCGCACCGAATAAAATGAATTTGTTGTAATATTAATTTACTTTACACTGAGTACATACTAAGTTCATAGGTTGACCTATGTTTCATTGAACATTAAACATAACCTCAAAAACATTTTAGTTTTCCTAATAATTTAAGTTCTCAGAAGTGTCCGTCAATAATCTTTGTTTTTACAGTCATTTACTTACGATTTCGAACCTAGAAAATAATATTTCATGATTGTTGGTTCTTAGGCTAACTATGTATGGACGCTGAACAATGTCCTTTAGTTTTAAGTTTAGAGAATCACGCCAGAATCAACACCACTGTTTTATAAGAAATAGGGTATTTTTTATGTTTTAGCAGCATTTAACTGCTGCCTGCGGCCCTGACGGCCGTGTCTAATTTTCTCTAATCTTTCTTAGGCTGCAAGACACGGCCATCAGGGCTGCAGTAGCATAATGGTCAGTGTATTCGCTCGAATAGCGAAGGGTGCGGGTTCGAGTACCGTCTGCTGTCTGGTCCACGCGGAATTCTTTCTAACAAAATTTTCTTTAGAAACAAAATGGTAGGAAAGTCAAAACTGTACATTGATTTTTTTTTAATAATCTACAACCGATACCGAAGCCAAAGATAGTTTTTAGAATTTTTGTCTGTTTGTCTGTATGTATGTCCGGGATAAACAAAAAAAGGACTGCATAGATTTACTTCAAATTTGACACAAATATTATTAAGAAGTCAGGTCAACATATAGGCTACATATTATCACGCTATCACCTACGGGGAACGAGCAGTGAACCTTTATTTCTAACTAACTACACGCGTACGAAGTCGCGGGCGGCCGCTAGTCATCTATAAGAAAAGACTACATCTCGACAGACGACACGATCTCAATAGGTACTCTGGTATCGCAAAAGTTAATAAGCTATTATGGCCTTACAATCAAGCTTCATAAATCGAAACATCACCTTTAAAATGCAATATTATGTATACTAGTGCAAATCTACCTACGCGCCGATCAGTACGGCAGCGGCGCAATTTTGTAAAAGGGCTCGTGAAATGTAATAAATAAATTAGTGATAAAAAAAAAATGGGTGCGTGTACTTATGTAGGCGCGTGAGAAGTTATCCTTCTTTGGCATCGTTTAAAATTAGTTTTTAATTGCATGCAAATAATTAATTACAATAAATTAATAAAAAGTCTGTAGTCTCCTGAATCGCGCTTTGGTTCCGTTGTTCCAGATTAATAAATACTTTTGATAGGCAAGCGACCAACTTCATGCTGTTAATTTTTTGTGTTACAGTGATGCGCGCGCATCTCAAAATTTCACTCTCCTCATTTTTTCATAACGCGCCTAAAGAAGTATAACTTCAAAAATAGGCGTAATTGCCACCACTTTCAGAAGTTTCCTGTACCATTTCTCTAATAACATTCCACGATTGTATATTTTAAGAATTAATATGCTATTTTTCTAGTTTCAGTACTCCTCATGTCCTGGTTTGGAGTGGAACAAGTAAAAGCGAATTCCTGCATCAGAACTGGTAACCAACTATCACATCAGTAACTGTGTATCATCTGTCCTGTATCACGAATCTTCTATGTGTACCTTACTTGATAAATAGATGTTCATATATATCTAGTACGTGTTGTGTATCCTATTCTTAACTGTGTAACGCATTCGATCAGTCGATACATTTTTCAAATGCTATTTAACGAGATTGATAATAAATATTTGGCTGTATATTTATCAAAACATGCAAGTTAAAAAGGTGTTTAAAAGTAAAAACTTGAATTTTAAAAAAGGAGCGCTAGTGAAGTGCGCTTTCTCAAAATCGATGTATCGATGTGTTCGCAGTAATAATGATGTTCTGTGTTTGAGTGCCCACAGGAATGTGTGTTGGATGTTACCTTGGATATTGGATGGTAAATTTATATATTGCATGATGTTCGAATTTTAGTCACAGAGCCACTATAAAACTTCGATAAAATTGATATTTATGCGTATACCTCTCTTTTGATCTTCTTCATTGGACAAAACACTCGAACTTGACTCCTGTGAATAACTGAAGTTTAATGTGTTTTCAGAGTACTAATACTTAATAATGTTAGCTAATACACAGCAATCGACACTTAACCACGGTAGACATTTTCATTCGGTAAGAATACGGAACTTATTTGTTTTACATTGCAAATTTAAAAAATGCGTTTTATGAAAATTATTATTCTTTCTTCAATTGATTTTCTTATCTTATTTTTTATTTTATTTTATGTTTTAAAATGCCCAGTCTACGGTTGTTATTAAAGAGGTTCAGTTATTTACAGGACCTAACTATCTCTCTATCTAGTAAACTGTTTAGTTGTGTTTCCATTTCCTAATATGATTTATTTCGTTTTTTACTAATTGACGCATGATTTTCAGCATTGTGGGCAATAAGTCTCTGCCCTCTTGTACAGGCGGAATGCCAAAGTAAGTACACATTATTTACTACGAAACACAGAATACGCTTGTCAGCTTAAAACTAATCAAAGCTCAGACCAAATACAGCTTAGTTGTTTCGGCTTTCAATAAATATTTGAATATTCCTTCAAACAATTCAAATTGGAATATATTTTATATTGACAAAGTACTATACTATGAACCAAATTTTTATTGTTTTTCAATAAAGATAATATTCACATATTTAAGTTTTCGACGACAAAAACCGTAGACTGGGTTACACGTAGGATGTTTAGTGCTTTAAGTGTAAGCAAGTAGAAACGCCTGCATTTTTCTATCTTCCATGTTGCATTTTGTACATATAGTTAGTTGCCTATATTTATATTTCACGTTGTGTTGATCTGTTTTAGATTCTATTCAAAGATTTCTAAATTTAGCACTGTCGCGAGTTATTTTGAATGAAATCAAAACACCAAAGCTCTGTCTCGTAAGAACTGTGTGACACGACAATGACATAGTTAAAAAAAAGTTATTATAGTTATAAACAATATTTATGTACAATATGATTCGTTCACTAGATTATGAAAGAATCCATTTACTACTAGTTAGTGCGAGTGTTAGATTTATTTAGTCATAATTTATTTATTTCTGAATAGATTTTCTTTCTTAATAGCAGTAGCAAACAGTAGAAAGTGACCAGGAAGTCAGTTCCAGGCATCTTCGAATTTTAAAACACGTGACGCTAGTTGCAAGTAAATTCAGCTTGATTGAAACTGCGCGAGAATGATGCTTTGTTCAAAGCCAACATTCTGCTTAGGCGCAGTGGTTAGGTACGAAGTTAATTCTTTTCTAGTGGCCCAAAGATGCTTGCGCGACACCTTTGCTATTCAACTCAGAATAGAAACGATATATCATTTGACTTGTCTTTCGTAAGCGAGCGCCCTAATTTGTGACGAATATCATCTGTATCACTTTCGAATTGGTTAAGGTATACTATAGCAATAATATGAATATAAAATTAATTCTACATGATTTAAAAAATTCTGTCAATTTTTTATTCAGGTTCAACCGTCTAAAGACGGCTCAAATTCAAAATTGTATGGTTAAAGATTGTTTTCCATTTTATCTTTAAAATTACATATTTATTTTAAATTTCAATATGCGTATGAATGAAAATGTGATAAGAGCTAATGCGATTTAAAAAGACAAAATTAATCATATATCTATGACGAATCGAATAAAATATCACTAATTGACGATAATTTATGATTAATCATTACTTTGATTTATTAATTTATTTTACACCGCATTTATCTCTAAAAACAGATCAACAAATTGTGAATAAATATTTCGCAAACATAATCTATCAAGAATATTTCCACACAAACCACATCAGAGAGGTAGGTAAGTAATATTAATATTATGAATTTAAAAAATATGAATTTTAACTAATATTTGTCATCGTCATACATATTTTTACATAATATTTCATTAATATTTATCAAGAAAGCGTATAATAAAGTGAAAGTATTTATTTTACATTCTCAAAACAAAACTTCAGTAGATATTTGTTTTAAGCGAGTTAATTAAAACAATTATAATTCTTTTCTAACTATTATATAGTTTAAATTATTAAATTAAAATTCATAAATTTCCACAACTTCATAAAAAGTTAGAATTTAATACGTGTGTAATATAAAATAGTTACTTATGATATACGCGCGGAAAGTATGTTATAACGAATAAGTACCATAAGTGAAAATAATCGCTGCGGTCGTGTTTTACGCATCCTATAATAACCTTTACGCTAACGTATCATACAGCATTTTACAATGTATTTTGCGAGGAAATAAAATAAAAATATAACCCATTTATATAAATTACTTATTAAGCTCATTTAAAAATGGATTATCTTTTACTCCAAAACATGGGAACCAACCTATCAAAGGTTTTATTTAAATTTCTAACTGACCCACAAATAGAAAGTGGTTTATTGAAAAAAAAGTGGCGCCAGGGCGCAGCACAAGGCTTAAAAATTAATAAAATACTTTTCCATACACATGCGGAAAAAGCACTTTCCACATAATGTGTATACATAAAAAATAACACTTTCCGAGCAAGTGCATTGAAATATATATATATATATATATATATATATATATATATATATATATATATATATATATATAAAGCTTCGTGTTAAAATTGAACGAACGGTCCAAAAAGAGACTAAAAACCTTTTTTGTCTGGCCAGACCACCACTTCACCCCTGTCATTATATTGTCCCTTAATTAGAACTGTTGCCGTAGGTATCTAAGAGTTGTGACAAGAGTTGTTTTAAAAATAGACACCCTAATGGGTCATTGAAAAAGTCGTGGCGTGTCTGTAGGGCTCAACTGGGCCCAACCTAAACCTCTCTTTTAGCTCAATTATAAGGACAAAACTTGAATTATAGCTAATTAAAGAGAAAATAGTAATACTCTTAGTGAAGGGTCTTCTCTCTTTAACAATTTCGTTATTTAGGTAATATTTAGGGACTTAGATAAACGTATTACAGCAAAATTGCACGAAAAGTGAAATTTCTCCTTAGTCGTACGTCTTGATTGCCGTCAAGATGCGTCATTAGAAAATGACAAAACAATACCAATACGACATATTCAGAGGGTTCCGTACAAATTCGAAGGTACGCAACATAAACGGCCGTATCTGTTTTTTACGTTAACTTATGAGTGTGATTTTTTCACAGCTACAAGAAATTATGGACTTGAGTATTTGTTTTAAGTTTCCACTCGACACCTTCACGCGTTCCTGAGATAAAGGGTCTTGACAGACAGACAGACGGCCAACAAAGTAATCTTAAAAGGGTTCCGTATTTTTCTTTTGACGGAACCCACAAAATTTATTACCTTAAATGATATTATTGGATTTTAAATAACAATAATCAAATTAATCAATTCTTTAATAAATGGCAAATGTTCTTATTCGTTTCTCCTTCGAGCATTCGAAGGAGAAGTAAAATGACGCGTATTCTTATAAAAAAATAATCATTAAAATTCTAGATATTGTTATTTTGAGAAATTTTACTGGAATATGTTTCAGGAACTCATGGAACGAGTCTATCTCTGCCTCATAATTCTAAAACTATCCTAAATTGATTCTGTTTCGATTCCCACGATTAGCCTTTGTCAATTCAAAAACCGTGAAAAAGAGGAAACTTTAAAATCAAATTCCTAGATGTTTTCATTTTAGAAATAAGGCCACCTTTGACGTTTAGTCTCGAATCCTTGGGGTCAGATAGATAGCGCGTACATTTAATGTTTTGAATACGAATACAATTATATTCTTAATTAATTCGTCAAAACAAGATAAAAATCAGGTCAATAAATAAGCTTCTCAGTTATTTTCGTTGTGTAACCTACGTTGATAAGAATGTTATCATTTTTTTTTCAATGAAGACTAATGGTCAGTGAGGGATAGTACAAATATTTATTCAAATATTATTGAAGCTGTGAAAATTTAAACTTCTATGTTATCACGAAAACAAGTTACGGCAGTTTATCTGTCTGTTTGTCAAAACCCTTTATCTCAGGAACGCGTGAAGGTATCGAGTCGAAATTTAAAATATGTACCTACTCAAGTCTACAATCCGTGAAACTAAAAAAACATAATTATGTTTTTATTTATTTTTAAGCATTTAACTGCTAGATGTTTAAATCTAAAGAAAAGTTTACTAGAAAAAAATACACGCGGACCAGGCAGCGGACGGGACTCGAACCCGCACCCTTCGCAATCCGGGCGAATGCACTGACCATTATGCTACCACGGCCCTATTTGCCGCGTCGAAATTTTCCTAGCCTTAAGCTGCAAGGCAGCGCCATCTCTTCGCATTGTAGGTAACCCACAATGTCAAATGAATACTTTTTCAAGTATTAATTATTCTGCTAGTAAACTTTTCTTTAGATTTAAAAAAACATAAGTTATTTTTTACAGTTTCACGGTACTTTGAAAAAAGATACGGCTGTTTATGTTACATACCTACAAATCTGTACGGAAACCTTGGTGGGCGAGGCCGACTCGCAGTTGTCCTATTATTTTATGAAGAAATGCGACCTAAACAATCATATGGCCCGCCTGATGGTAAGCGGCTGCCTTAGCCAGTACTGGTACTTGCAATACCAGATTATCACTCGCGCCGTGATTTATCCTGATCACATTCCCTACCCCATGGATAAGCTGGTTGTATTAAACATACTAACTGAACTTATTTATTTTTTGTATCGGGCAATCCCCAATCAAGAGGCGAAGTGAAAAAGCATACAAATCTAACCAAGATATATGAGAAAAAAAATTAAAAGAGGAGAACGCTTTAAATAAATTACAAGCTACAGTAGAACCAAGATATTGTGGCACTTTTATGACATAGACAAGGGGGCGCTACTGGTTAAATAAAATAAATAAATATTTCCAACAATCACACCAATTAGCCTAGCCCCAAAGTAAGCACTGTAAGGCTTGTGTTATGTAATTAAAAAAAAAAACAAAAAAATCAATATTTAATATCGTTTATTCAGTCTAGGCTGTTACAAGCACTTGTGAATGTCGAAAAGCTACGCCATCGGTTCGCAAATCTTTCTTTGGGTTACTATGGTAACGGATACAATACATATACAGAACATATATAAGTATATTTTATATAGAAATACAAACATATTAAACATCCATGACTGGAGTACAAATGCTCGTATTCATCACACAAACATCTGCCCCCACCGGGATTCAAACTCGGGACCTCTCGAGTCGGTGACACTATGAAACCCGGCGTACAAACCACTCGACCACGGAGGTCGTTAAATAAGTAGAAAATAAGCACGTAAAATCTCTTCACTTACGGAACGTTATAATTTACAAAATCTCGGTAATATATAGGCTTATTAAGACCTTCCTATATAAAAAATTGGTTATTTTTGCCTTTCTAAAATTAGTTCCGATTTCTGCCACGCATCATTAGATATTGGTCGCATTGTATACAGGATTGTAAACTTTTCGGATGCATAGATGTTTTAATTTAACATGGATAAATCCATTACGAATTAATTTGCATATTCAAACTAACTATACTAAAGAAACTATGGCTCCTAATTGGTTTCATCGATGTCGATAAATTTATCATGTAGGACATCACTTACAAGGTTAGCGATTACGCGAACAAGGATCATACGAGCATAATAATTCAATTAGGTCATCGATTTTAAACATCTAATTCTAGGTTTCCTATGAAGTCTTTCAAAGCATTGATATTTAAATTAGTTGGTAACATGTAAATAGAATGTAAAGTTCCAACTAGAAAGTGAGAGATTGGTTATGCTTTTTGGTAATAGCATAAAGACGCATGATAGATGCAAAAGTGCAATAAATTAGATCAGTTATTGAATTTTGAATCAACTGTCGTGTGAGATAAAACAAGTACCTAGCTTGTGCTTAGAGCATGGCTACCGGTTTTCGGTAATATCGAAAAAATCGGGGCTCAAAAGTTGATATCAAGAAATCCGTATGAAATTTTTTAATACCGGTTTTCAGTCTTATTTTTACTAATATTTTCAAAGACCTCATGAGATTATAATAATTTGACAGTACCTTCACAATCTTGTGACCTTGTGGCTAAAATTATTACTTATGACTATTGTGGGGCACAGTGAGACTGCTAGTGATAATCATACAACAATACGTAACGAGATGACGCTTTATTGTGGACAATCGTGGGGTCAATTTTGAAGAAATAAGTTCATAGCTGCATATGACACTTTAAATGCTTTGTGCTTGTTACGGCATCGACAAAGCTGGTTGAGGCTAATTCAGATATATTTCTGATCTCTAGACAATACTTACATGCTACATTTTTGATTAATAGTAGTTTAAACTTATTACATTTTATTAAGTTCCTTAAATTATAGTGAAGTACTTGGAAACATCATCATCATCATCAGTTGATAGTCCACTTCTGGCCTTGACATAATACCTGATATGATGGTGCCTTCTTTCCCTTCTAACTTACACAATGGTCCTACGGTTTCGACGTCAGTCCACCAGATGAGGGGTCTACTGACGCTGCGCTTACCAAAGTGCGATCGCCATTGAAGACCCCGGCCACACATTTCAATATTATAGTTTTTACAACTTAATTTGATACAATAAAGTTTTTTTTTTAATTTGCTATTGGCACCCAGCGCCGAGTATAGTAACGCGAAGAAATAAAATAGCGATAAAGGAGGACGGACCTTTGGTCACCCTTTTGACATGTTTTTGGCACGGCAATTACATACACTTGCAGTATTTAATTTGATCTATGCCTGTGCATCAAATCTACTACCGAGTCGATTTGTAATGACTATTGAAATCAACTTGAAGAGATGGCTCAGCAGAATTCTAATAAATATTATTAATATCATCCTATATATGTGACCTTATATAAGCTACAAGATCCTTTTGCTGAAAATATATCGAAATACCGGTTTTCCGGTATTAAAAATTACAATACCGAAAAAAATACCAGTATTACAAATCCTACCGATATTCCATGCTCTATATAATAAAATAAATCACCAATATATGTTTTGCAATAAACTTTAATCTTCACATTTTTTTATACCAATTTCATCGTACCGTGTTTCTATTTTTAAATTATTGAAATCACTGCTAAACTGAAACCACTAAATGGAGACAATTTTTAAGCGACAAATTCTTTCTTTATTTTTCATCACAATTTTATGTAATAACATTTCAATTTATTTAATTTCCTTTCCAAAGAAAGCAAAGGGTAAAGTCAATCATGCAACCTATACTCTACCTCCAACCACCATTGACCTGTTTATTTTAAAATACACCATTAAACACAAGGACACAGTCAATTGATATCGTAAAAAAACTTTCGCGTGACTAAGGTAAGGTATGCTGTTCAGGTCGGGTTAGCCTTGGTCTTACGTGGCAACAGCATAATTATACAGTAAGCCTTATCAATGTGTATTCGTTTTCTGAATATTTCTGTACTTCACTAAACAATCGTATACGGTAAATCTTTTTAAATTAAAAATAATTACTTTCACTTTATATTTGGGCCTGATATTAATTGAACAACCGCCATTATTTAAATTCGTTGATTATTTAAAGATTTCTTGATTGTACTGTAGGTACCAAGCATAAAAATAAAAATATTGGGTACGATCTTTTTATTAACGTTTAGAACAAGAACATTAGGTATTATAATTATAAACGTTATTACCTACGTATATTTCTTTGCTTTCGTTTTTTTATAGAGAAAAAACATTATCTCTGACAGTAATTCTAGTAAATAAGTCATCATATATTAGTTTAAAAATCAATTCAATTAGCTCTGTATAACATCTAATAAATCTAAAGGTGATTTCAGAATTCGCCAAATATCTATAAAATTATTTTGTTGAAAGACTAATTGTTATTCAATTTGGATTCACATCTTGATGCCTGAGAGTAAATACATACTACCGCTCAACTTTGAAAATAAAATCTGAAGTAATTCATTGTATTGTAAGCTTGTTGATTTAATTCAAAACTGTAAGACGACTTTAAAACTCACAAGCTTATCGCAACACCACCTGCAGTGCCAAAGTAGTTTACTCACATAAATATACTCTTAAATAAATTTAGTTAGCGCATATTCTTGCCACTCTTCATTCATAAGCAAAATTATGAGAGATTCCAAGCATTCATACGCCAAATTTAGTTGGTGACATGGCGACATTTAACGTCCAAAATAGTGTTGCGACATAAGTCGATTTTTTCGATTGCTGTTTCACCTGCAGTAATTTTTAGTAGCTCATGTTTCGATACTCTAATATAGTAAATAAATCTGTCAAACTTATAACGCAGCTGCAATACATACCGCTCGACTTTGGGAATTAAATAGTCATTTAGTTTAAGCCAGCTTATAGCAACGCAGTTTAACATTTCAATACATATAATAATATTATTGTATCTCTTCACTAGACATAGAGTAATAAATGTTTATAAAAAATCGTATATCTTATTAATTAGGTGTCATCGCGACTTGCAAATTAGTATTGCGCATTAGCTACAGCGCCATCTGCAGTTGCGATTCAGAGTAGTTTGCTCATATTCCATGATCCATAAAAAAGTTTCTACTTAAAAAACATTATATTTTATTATTATTTTTTTTTATAAAAAGAACATAACCTAATACGGGATTCCGTTTTTCTGCTACAGCTCGCACGATATACTGTTATGAGTGTGACAGTTGGACGGATATACGCTGCAAGGACCCGTTCAACTATACCGCCTTGCCACGCGACCAACCGCCGCTGCAGACCTGCAACGGCTGTTGCGTCAAGATGGTGCGGTATTCGAAGAGCCGTGAGTATTGGTCGCCTGTTCATTCTTCGATTGAAGTTTTTAAATCAGCGTTCTAAGTTTGCTAACAGTAGGGATTCAAAGCTGGGATTTTGGAATTTACTTGAGCGCGGCAGAATAATATAAGGAGCAACCGAGCACCTTGTAAGCACCCTTTATATTGGGTCAAACGTCTAGGGCAGCAGAAAATAATTCAACAAACGGCCATGACTTTTGGTCGCGTCCAAATCGTCAGTCTTTTGAATGGAGCTACTGGAGGGTTGTCATATGATTAAAGCAGTGTCATGGCCGTTTGTTGATTTTTTTGGCTGTCCCAGTCTTTCAGGCTAAAGTATGGTGGAAGTATTCCAAGGTTCTATTCTATTCTTCCCAAGGTGCAAAGTTGCCGCCCTTGTGTTATTTTGTTGCGCTCGAGTAAATCCGTAAATCCAGAAATACCCGCTTGGGCTCCTCTACTATAAACAAAATATAATTCTTCTGCTAGTGTAGTTTTCCTTAAGTTTACTTTTGGTGTTGGAATCTTCATATCAGCTGTACAACTTCCATTACTAGGCATAGACATCTCCCAGGGATCTCACATCGACCGGTTCTGCGCTATTTGCATCTAACGGCTCCCGCATCACAAGATCGTTGGTCCATTTGCTGGGCGATTTTATCCATTGAGATTAAGCCGATGCGCGGTCAATATTTATGAACTTGGTACACCATTCCGCCCTGGTGGTCAAGCGGTTCTTTTCGCTACGTGTCGTACTCACTACCACTTCAGCAGAGCAATCCTTTGAGCGTTGTCGGTTACTTTAGTTCCTTTACGGATTCCCACATTTCTGGTCCTGTCGCGCAGTGAAATATCAAGCATCGCTCTCTCTACATTGCTCACTCTGTAACCTTTGAGTTTATGAGACTCGTAGTAAAACTGTAATATTGTGGCTGATTAGCTTCTGCAACTTATTAATCCCACCTGTTGTTGGAGTGGAGTCTACATATTTGCTAAGATAGCTGGTATGGTAGTGAACCGTACCGTAACAGGTAGCTTCACATAGCTGGCTTGAACCCTGATCTGCCATGCGGAATTCTGGTAAACGAAATTACCACAGTATGTAACTCAACCAATTTTTATCACCAACTTGTCCATTAAAAAGCACCCCAAAACGACTTTATTATTAACGCATCGACTCGTTTTGATCTGATTGGAAATTCAATGTTTCGGGTGAACAAGAAACGAGAAATATCAATGAAATTTCGACGTCGTACTTTTTATTGCCTTCGAAAGCAGACGAGCAGATGGACCACCTGATGTTAAGAGGTCACCGTCGCCCATGGCGTTGCCATTGCCAAAGTACTGTGCTGTGATGCTGCCTTTTGTTCAGGCAATTACAGAATTAAATACCAAAATATGGTACTTAATCAACAAGACTATGCTTTATCGTGTTCCATGGTTCCATTAGTTTTATATATGTTCTGTCTCTTTCCAGCGTACGAGGTCGTCAGACGCACGTGCACCTCGCAGTTACAAATCAACCTGTTCATGGTGGACCACGTTTGCATGATGGAAAGTACTGGCACTGGCCACATGTGTTTCTGTGAGGAGGACATGTGTAACGGCGCGGGGGCGCTCAGATCCGCGATGATGACGCTTCTCACACTGACGCTCGCATGTGCATGCCTGAGGTGAAGTAGATTAGAATTGTTGCGACTGGGTCGACCGATCTGTCACGTCCGCGCGGTGCACTCGCTAGGCGGCGAGTGACTGACCCTTCCATTGCCCCCGCCCTTATATATTCCGCGATATTCTGATTCGAAAAAAAAATGGTTTTAAGAATATTTTTGTGGCTTCTTCGTTTTTTTATAAGAGAGGTTTTAAAAGAAGGTCGTAAGAAAGCTTCCGTTTACAGTTTTTTTTTTATATATACTGAAGCATCATTAATGGGATATTAAGAGTTTTAGAAATGATGTATAGGTAGAAAGGAGAAGAGCCAATGACTAAAATTGAAGTTATCTTTACTTTTATAATATTACAAGCTTTGGTAATGGAGGGAAATGTTGCTCAATATTATGTCGCCTTATTTTAATAAAATTGAACAGATTGTAGAACGAAACGTCTAAAATGAGAAAGTCAAGTGAAGTTATGAGACTTTTAAATCAAAGCTTTTTTCCAATCACATTAAAACAGTGATAAGGTCAAATATCGATAGATAATTACCTATCGATATTTCTTATAATAATCTTCCATACAACCTTATTAGTGAATCGATTAAATCTACCATTGAAATATCATATCATAACTTTACAGTGACAGTTCATATAGTTTCAGAACTTATTAATAAGCATTATTGGGAATTCTCGTTGTTATAATCGTATATTGTAAAATGTGATCGTCTTATATATTTAACCATAGAACTATTACGTAGGGAAAAATCATTTGTCAACAGAGCGCCTAAAAATGCTTATTGCAAAAATTTACGAAGCAAAGAGCTTGTTTCTGGCGTAGTGACATAAATTTAAAAGTGAATTGATCAGCTCATGCTATCATATGATAAACAATGAAAGCAGCATTCAAACATAGAAGTTGCCTAATTTTAAATTTATGTGTTACCTAGAAATCGAGTACATAAGTGCACTGAATTGGAAAAGAATTGATCGACTGACTCAAAAAGTACGACCCTAGTCGGGATTTAATTATAATCTTCGTCCAATAATAGCTGTAGATTAGTGACATAACATTGTGCTTAGTTTTTACACAACAGAATTACTTTTTTCTTTTAAGAATAGTCTTAGTTATAATTTCTCGAGTAAAGCAATGAAGGCTCATGGTGAAGTTATGTAAAAATTGAGCACACTTTTTTCATCTAAGACAGTTCTCACGTTCAGCATTTCGCTCATAATTATCTCCTAATTAAGTATACTAATTAAAACTAGCATTTCAGTAATGCAAATAAAAATGGTTTTCCAACATTTGACTACCTAACTACTTAGCATGTAAATAACGCTCAGTCACATAGTGATGCGAAACAAATGTTTATAAATATATCGATAAATCGATTGAATAAGATTTGACAAATTTTTCTCAGCGATGCTTTACTCTGATTGGTCCAATTTAGACCGAGATGGATTTGCTCATAGATGCACTTTAAAATAGATGTGGGGCACATTAGATAGTGATGTGAGATGTAAATGAGATGACTTGCGCGAACTGCCGTTAAGTAGATGAGAAAGGTTTAATCGTAATTCGGTAATAGAAGTAGGTTAGCAATAAAATTATCGCCATACGAACGAATTCATTGCGATAAAAATAAAACGGTTGTGTTTTTCATTTTGTAAGTAGTGTTGACAGAGCGATGGTCATTTTGATTGACGTAAAGATATATTTACTGTCTTTCTCTACCAATTTCGTAGGGACAAGGACGTGACATAGTCTGGCAAAGACTTAAATGACCAATAATGTAGATGCACTTAGTTACCTGAAAGATTTGGTAAGAATAATCAAGTTACTACTTACAGATAAATGAAACAGATGAAACTGTCCAAAAGTTGATAGGCTCATTGTAGATGGGTCTAACCTGTTATCGGAAAACAGTATCCTAGCTTTTGATAAAATTTAAATAATTAAAGATCTGCTCTTTCGAAGTCGCGAGATCAATATTTAGAATGTTTTAATTGATGGTCAAATAGCTTTATTTAGTTTTAACTTAAGTGTTCAATTAGTTAAATATTACCCCTTCCATACGATCCGTTAGTACAACGCAATACTTTGCATGCTCATTCCTTACCATTTCTTGATTTGATTTGATGATTCGCATGCGTTTTATAATGAGGTGTGTTCTGGAAAACTTAAGTTTATATTCAAACATGAAGAGAAGGTTTTTAAAACCTTAGAAAATCTCAGACGAAATAAAATGATTTTACATTTACAAAAGTATATTAAGTCTATAGCTTTTTCGCACATGAACTGGCTAAAATGAATTTAAATTTGGCCAATAAATGCCATCCTTGTAAAAACAATAGAAAGAGAGATATTACGGTTACACAAGCATGTTGTTCAGCTAAATTTAAAATAATCAGGTGTGGTTTGCTTACGGGTGAATATAGTATAATCGAGACAAAAATATATAACAGCGAGATAGTAGAATATAACAAGACCTCGTTTTTAAGAATAGCGTAATTATTAATCTACGAAAATAAACACCAAATAAATTTTAACGGTTAATGTAAATTAATATTTTGATTGTTAAGTTTTCTGCTTAGATTTGATAATGATTATTGAGATTAGCTGTGTTTGAAGGGGATTTCGGTGATAGGTACATTTTTTTTTGTTTAACCAACAGTAGATAGGTTATGAAACAGCAACAAAGACTGTTAATTTAAACGGAGTGACCCCGGACGCCTGGGCGATTTTTACATAGTCCTGAATTTCGGGATGTGATTATCAAAATGTTTCCATGCCGTGTTTCATTGTTATTCGTTCATATTTGCTATTCCTACAAGACAAACAGTGACAGACGTGCTGAAAGCACAATAAAAAAATTTAAATCAATAAAGTAGTATATTAAAAAAATATTTTATTATTTTTTAACGAGATTTCAACATAACTACCTTAACAAAGTGGCTCAGTGATTTAATTTGCGATATTTGCCGCGAAATAGTACCATTTCAAAATACCCACTTCAAATAAATCCTGCATGGACTATATGCAAGATTTATTTTAACTAACTCAGTGCTAGGACTCCTGGATTCAGAAATATGTAACAACCGCTCTATACAGAAATATTTTGTATAGTGAAGGAAACACAAATCAAGTGACCTTGCTCATTTATACGCATAATTGTTAAGATTAATGAATAATAAATCAATAGATCTGTAATAATTATTATAAACGTGATAAAACTAATACATGTTAAATAAATCTGGAAAAGCTAATATAATAAAACGTGGTCTTTTGATCTGCAAATAAAACAACCCAACTAAATTGCTTCTCTCGTTATTTCCCATGTTTTTTTTTGCTACATTATTTATTGTGTTGATTTGAAGTACACTGTTATTTTAACCCTAAAAACTTTCCATCACAATTTCTATGGGCGCATGACGTATTATTAAAATGTTGCCCGGCACATATTCTTAATTTCTACCAAGTCCTTCTATACTCCTAACAGTCTTTGGTGATTTGTTTTTAAGGTTTATATTTAATTAACTGGCATTTTATGTTAACATTTCTCACTGGAGTAACAAACATACTTGATATTATCATAGCAGTTCTATTTTTCAGTATCACATTTTATCGTGGCAGTTTTTTTTTGCAACACTTACACGTGATTATTTTATTTTATGAAAGAGGAAGAAAACTGACCAACGTTGTTATGCAATTTTCTTTCTTATTTCAGTGTTATATTGCCAGTTAATTCAATTCAAACTTTTAAATGGTAGTTTCTATCATACGACGGTAGTTCCTTTAACAGATACAAGATTTATTATTAGGCATGGTGCAATAATATCATTAAAGTCACAGTTAGTGCCTAGGCTTTTACAAGCAGGCAAATTTATTATAAGTCAGGTTATTTTTGCTTTAACCCTTGTAAATATATAGATATATAACGAGTGCAAAGCATATAATAGGTTATTAATTATATGTAAAATAACTATGAAGATTATGGATATTTAAATATAATACGATATCGTATATATAGTAGGTAATTATCTTCCTAATTGTTACTAATTATTTAGTTACATCTAATCTTTACTGATACAAATTTGTCGCTCATTTTTGAGTATATATTTAATTATAAAAAAATAATATAAATTATATTGTTTCATTTAAAGCATCACTTTATGATTAAAGAGTCTATTTCATTTTCTAGATATTATAATATATAAGAGCCGCGTAATACTAAAATAACTTTTGGGTGATATTCGAGTGCGCCACGAAGATTTGATGCATTTATACCGTTTCCAAATGCTATCACATTCATCGCATGTGGTAATAATTTAAAATTAAGGCTAGCAACAATGATATAGGTGGTCTGGCATGAATACAGCACAGTAGTTGGGCATACACTGAGCCAACACCTTGGAACGCTGAGGCCCTTTGAAACCTACCAGGATTTGGGATAGCCATGACTAAAAAAGTACGGATGTCGATTTACCACCATCAAGTTATTAAATAAAAGAAAAAAGGTGATTTTTACGAATGGCTGTCTCAAGTCTTATTGTATTTAGATTTTTATTATGAAAAGCTATTTTAAAAATAAGTAATAAAATTTTACCATATTCGCTTTAATTTAACATAGATTTAATTAAAAATAATAATGTAAATGTAGTGCTGAAATACATTTTTTTCAATCCGAAATAAATAAACACATTTTTACTTGTGTAAAATATATATATATATATATATATATTATATGAAAAGAAAATGTATTTTAGCACATTTGTTTAAATTTAATACTTACTTCTTTCTTCACTTTCTAAATACCGCATATCACGCATATATAGAATGACTAGTTGTTCTGAGGAAAAAAATAATGATAATGTTGCATAGTCAATTAGAGTTTTTGACATATCTTCGCGATTCGGACTTGATATTATTAATCTCAAGTTTGGTCATTTCCTTAGGGTTGTTATATTACCATGCATGTATTTTATTTTTAAACAAAACTTGCAATTTGAATAAAACAACAGCTAACTTTGATATCAAATCTCCATTATAGGTGCCTATTTAAACAATAACCTTTTGTTTTATATAAATAACATTTCAAAATTACAAAAAATAATGTTTTTTCTCTTCTTTAATTACTATCAGCTCAATTAGTATCTACAAATGTTAAAAAAAAGAAATACTGAAAATCAAAAATACCCTTATAAATTTTATCGATACAACTACCGGAACATCACTAGGGACGTCAGCGAAGTTGTTTTATTCAAAATAATGGGAAATGTTCTAAAGTAATACTAACATGCACCTTGATATTTATTCCACTAATCAGCTGATCGCTTCACGGGTCGTTGACCCCGAGTCTCCCGCTAGTTAGCCCTCTAATGTGATAGTCACAAAACCAGCGTTTTATAGTAAATATTATAAAAAAATCATTAAGAACTATTTAAATTACTTTTTCTACGACTACATATCTGTTTAAAATGTGCCTGTCATGTTTTTTGTCACATCTTAAATATACCGACCTTAATATAACATTTCATCATTCACTATTCACTTGATTGGTATGAAACTAAAAAAAATTGTTTTAAAGCTGAATGAACTTGAACTATATAAAAAAACATACCGGTCCAATTGAGAATTGTTTGAATTGTCGATTTAAAAGTAAAAAACGCTTTCACTATAATAATTGCTGTTAAAGTCCTTGTCACTAAATATTATTGTCATCTTATGTAAGTACCTACTCTGCTACTATCGCTTAGCTTCATTTTACCCAAACTCCTTTTTTAAAGTTTAGTTTCCAAAAGTAATCCCACTATTATAAAAGGCTGGTTTTTGACCACACACGCCTCAACATAATGTGGCCCGTTTGTCAGATTTTTTCACATGTCATTCATGGTCCGATAAAGAAAATACACTTCCTTACCTTGTAAGACCTTCGTCCAATACATTAAAAAGTTGTCTGCATAGGTATTATATAAGTATCGTATATCAAAGTCGATGACTGATGTCTTCTGTCCCTTTCACACACGATTTAAAAAGTTACGTATGAAAAGGACATATATAGGTATTGACTTTGTTAATACGATTCGAAAATCTCAATTTTGCATTGTGAAAACAAAAGACGTGCTGAGAAGTTTTCTAGGGGAGTGTACAAATAAAAATAAATATTATACATTTCGATTCATTGTACTTATCCAATTTCGGAGTGGTAAGAAGCTTAGCAGATGATGGACAGTAGCCAGAAATTTAACCGCTTATTAAGTAAAGAATTTAATACTTTCCATCAGCTGTAATGTGAAAGTCTGTAAGATGGTAACAAAAGCTAATGACAATCTTTTTGTCTTTCTTAAATAAAAAATGACAACACAAAAGTAATGATAAGCTTTATCATTAGTTTTGTGTTGTCACATTTAAGTTATGATGGGCCACATCAAATAATAATTGTATTGGACGAGCGCTAGGTAATATATTTTACCTGTTTAATGTGAAGGATGAAATGAATGTATACCGAAGGTATAAACCACAAAACATCGGACAATAAGACTAAGCAGTATTATAATATCAAGAAAAAAATCAATAGCATCAAGATAATTGATTAATTTATTTTTCATTAAAACCTAATGCTGTCTACGTCTTCATTTTAACAAACAAAGGTGACAGCTTACTTTTTAGACTGTTTTTAATTTTTTACAACATTTTGTAATACGGGGAAAGTGTATGCCATAATGTGCTAAAGTAGGTATATTTAGCGCACTTTTAATATTTTTACCTAATACGTTTGATTATCGTATCCGCTTAGTCGATATTTTTAACATTTGTTTATTAAATTGACATTTGTCGAGAGTATTTTCAAACCTTTCGATCTAGTGAAACTATCGATTTTGTTATTACTATTTTTATCGACATTTTCGCAACCCTATACTTAAAAATTGTCGCGCCATTCTTGGCACCGTCAAATCAAAAGCACAAATTAAAATTTAAATCAACTTCAGTGTATTTGCTTTTCCATTACATAAAATTTTCTTCATGCTATTGAAAAATTTCAACATCTCGTTACCATGTCGCGATAGCTTAAAACCTGAGGTACATAAATAAAGCAAGTGTTTTGTCAAAATATTGAAGTGCCATAATTATAGAAATATTGTTATAAATACCGCATTTTTATTCAACTATATACCTAACTACCTTATTTCTCTAATACGTATGCAATCAGTCAATAATAAGCAATCAAAAACATAACTTGTAAAAAAAAACAAGTCTTGCAACTCAGTTCTACTTCTTCTACTGTCAAAAGTTGTGAGATCCATGCTATGCCAAGTCGGTTAATTTATTCAGTCCCTACTTAAGGAACCTTCTGTCTTGAGTTATTACGAAATTAGCTCACCTAACAACATCTTATACTGATCATATCATAATTAAAAATCTTGTATGTTTTAAATAAATAAATTGACTTGGCAATTGCACGAAAACATAATGTATCTCACATATTATATTAAATTAGATTGTTGAGTGCGATTGCCAAGTCAAATTTATTTATTTGAAACTGATATGGTCAGTATAAGATGTTTTTTGTTGAACTAATTTCGTAATAACATTTTTGTAGACATGTCTTATATGACTGGCCATAGGAATTATGGCGCTTAACTGGTTGATTGACACAAGATCCAAAGAGGAGACATGACTGCCATATCCAGTATGTTGCTTAACTGACTGATTGAAACAAGCTCAATAATGGAACCACTATATATTGATTCCTGAAGGCTCGTTTACGCCGGTGCAACACTGTGCGGCATTGCGGCATGCCACACCAATAATAGGGTATTAAAACCATTTTGAAAAGTTTCTCAATTAAATTCTAAAGTACTAATGCTACTAAAAAGCATATTTTTTTAATTCAATCGTTATGTGCCTTAAAATAAATTTTTAATTTAACATTTTCAAATTTCGCGCGTAGTTAAACGAAAACGGTGGAAGCAGTGGACGCCATATTGCTTTGTGGTCTTGACGTCATTAGTACTGTAAATAAACGCGTTACCTTGGTTACGAAAACATTGAACGTACTGAGTTGACAGCTGACACTTTATACTACACTATACTAGCGGTGTGACGTAATTATTACGTGGCGGCTACTACGTCTTCTATTTTATCGTGTTTTAAAACGAATAAAAAAACTGAAAACTTTAAATTGAATCTTTAAAAATGCATTTTGTTATTTTATGAACTGAAACTTACATTTTCCGACTCCTTTTTGCCTAAACTATGGCACAATACATTTTTTTTTCTCAAGTACAGTGGAAATACCCTATTTAGTACTTTACAGCACAATAATTTAAAAATAATCTAGGCCTGAAGTTGCATCGTCGTTAAATAAGTTGCCGAATGTTGATAATGAAAAAGAAATTTTCTAGTAATATAAGTTATTTACGGGATTTTTACCATGTACCTTTGTCAGGGAAGCGATTGAAATAACAAAACATAAAAATTTCAAATTGTCGAGTGTCTGGAATCTTTTGGCTCGTATGTGTAAAACCGGATATAATCAAAAAAGTGTCGTGTCGCGATCCGATACTGTAAGTGTTGTGTGTCGAGAACAGTCTCGAGTGAATAGTAAGAATGTGAACAGTGGTACTGGTATCGAACGCAATAAAAGACTTCGTCGGAGGGTAGATCGATATGTCTGCCAATAACAGCCTACCCGCAATTACTTCAGTTACTCCGTGATCATGGCACTTGCAACAGTGCCGAAATATAGGAAACTCGCTAAAAACAAGGTACATGGTAACAATCCCGTAAATAACTTATATTACTATAATGTTAGTGACCATGAAAGTTTAAAACAATATAGATTTTTTTCTATTTGCAGCATACCACCAGATGACGTTGCTGCTTCGGCGTAAATCAGTACCCCTAGCACGAAGAATTATCGAATTCGAATAGTTTGCGAGTCCGAAATGTCATTGTCAATTTTTTTATGAAAACTTGAACAGCAGCGCCCTAATAACGTACGTAACGAGAACTAAAAATCAGTACACATTTGAGTGACATTTCGTACTCGCAAACGATACGAATTCGATATTGGTTCGTGCTAAGGGTACAGCATTTACATTGTACCAGGGGAATATCAGTTATAAATAAATAATATCCAGGGGGAATATCAGTTATAAATAAATAATATCCAGTAAGAATTATTCCTATATTTATTTACTTACGTAGTAAAGATTAAACATATATTTATACAATAAACAAATTCAATATGTACAAATATTTGGATTAACTTACACAATATTATGTAGGTATAAATAATAACAGTAATACTTTTATTAAATTCTTAAAAAATATCGGAGATCAATTTTTCGCTTACAAAAAAAATAGCAGGTACTCAGTTCTGTGTCAGAGAAATTTATAAATATATTTTTTAGTAAAACTTTTATTTCATCGCTATAATTTGTTTCAGTCCTCAGACTTTTTAAAAAAGGGACAGGTGGCTAGCTTACTAAACTGGCGGCCCGGGTTCGTTTCCCAGCCGAGAAAGTACTATTTTTGATTATTAATAAATTATATTAATAAATTTCACTTACATCATGCATAGTTCCACAAAAGCACACAAATTTTTCAAATTAAATTCCTCTTTTTTTTTGAAGTGAAACTTCTTTTAGGACGTGGTGTAAATGGAAAAATCCTGATGGAAAAGATGAAACGGAAATGCGTCACGAGCGTCACACGATATATATATACCTACACACACATTTTATATATACAATTCTCGTGTCACAATGTTAGTTACCATACTCCTCCGAAACGGCCTGACCAATTTTTATGAAATTTTGTATGCATATTCCGTGGGTCTGAGAATCGGCTACTATCTATTTTTGATATCCTTAAGTGATAATGGTTGTCCACCTGTAACGTAGTGTTCTGAAACCTTAAGGTGCATGTACCACGGTATATGCTCCATACTCGTACCATGGTATATGCTCTAAGTCTGCAACCTAGAATGCGCCTTCGCGCCAAAATTCAAACTATTGGGTATTGTAACGTAGTGTTCTCATATGGATTAGGAGGAATGTTATCCCAGGAAATTGATAAGTAGCAACACTACGTTACACACCCCTAATTTTTTTGGACATTTTTTTTATATAATGTGGTATTAAAAAATACATACAACCCTAAATTTTCTCTTCTACTACCTATTTTTATGGCGGTACGAAGTTCGCTGGGTCAGCTAAAATAAAATTTCACACTTCAATTGGTTTTAATTTGTACTCTCCATAAATATTAGTTACTTGGTGATATATATATATATTTAATGTGTGTGTGTGTGTGTGTGTGTGTGTGTGTGTGTGTGTGTGTGTGTGTGTGTGTGTGTGTGTGTGTGTGTGTGTGGGACGCGTGCATAGCTCTTTCTACGAGCATGAAAGTTAGAGGGTAACTCGGCGAAGGCTGAAACGCTACGAGCGTCACATGTGACAATATATACTACTAGCTGACCCAGCGAACTTCACACCGCCCTAAAAAAATAGAGGTGGGTGGTAGAAAGGTGAAAATTTAGGGTTGTATGTATTTTTGTATAATGTATCATAAAAAAATTTAAAAAAAAATACCTAAAATTGAAAAAAAAAATTAGGGGTGGATGAAAAATAGATAACATCCGATTCTCAGACCTACTGAATATGCATATAAAATTTCACGAAAATCGGTCGAGCCGTTTCGACACGAGAATTTTATATATTAGATATATACGAGTGATGATTGCGCTGCTCCATTCCCCTATGCCTTATGCACCTCATAATGTTAGGTTATTCAAGAAAAGAAGTTTCACTTCAGAATTTCATGCACACATAGGTCAAATCTGTTAATATGATTTATAAATTTAATTTACATGAATTTTGCTTTACAATATTGGACTTGGAAGAAGGCCTTTCGTTACGTTTGATTGTTTAAAAAACATAAGAATAAGTAACATTTAGTTAAGAAAATTACATGACAGATAACACTTCGATTTATATATATTTAGAGAGCATGGTTTGTTGCTATGATAATTGCCAATTCCCCATTGGGATAAGACCGAAACATGTTTTTATTCCGGTATAAGAAAAAGTATATTATTTTCCTAGAGAACTTTAATTTAGAGTTATAGTAAGACAGGTCTTAGTATTCCAATTTTGGTAGTTCAGTATAAATAGTTGGGCTAAGTAGTGCATATAACAAAGTCAAATCGTCGTCTTATTTGTTTTCAAACAAATAATGTATACGGGTGTTTGAGAATTACGGTGGAACCTAAAACTTTTATGATAACCAATGTATTGTAAAAAAAATACTAAAATAATAACCCTGATTAGCCCCACTACTGGGGCCCAAATCGACTACACGGCCCCAGTACGGAATGAAAAAACAAAAAAGAAAAAAGGAACACGAAAACGACCGCGACAGTTTCGATTACCGGCCTCCCATCCCCAGGAATCCCCAATCGACCCCCGCCACACCCTCCAGGGCCGAGGGGGGGGGGGGGCTCCGGGGGGCACGTGGGGAGCCGGCTCATAACTAGTATGTAGTAGCCCCGGGAGTAGGGGCCCGCAGCCTCATACCCCCTGTAGGGGGCATGTCTTCTCTGGTAATGCCTTTTGACATGGCTATTAATAGGGATGATGACTAATTTTTTTTTTCTTCGTTTATCAGGTAGATTATCAAAAAAAATTGTTCACGTATTTTTTCTTTTTTCACATAATATAAACATTGCAGAGATATATTGATTTGAAAAGTGGCATGACGTCACGATTGAGTACACTTATAAGTGAAAATTCACTCAAAAGTGACGTCACGAGCCCCTACTCCCAAACTTTGACACGCTATAACTTTGTAATTTTTTGGTCGATTGCCCAAAGAAAAAATACGTGTCCATTATTTTTTGATCATCTAACTGACGGACTAGATAGAATTTCGTTTACTGTATGTACCCCGTCATCATGCCTATTATAATCCCACAGAGGATGCACTGCATCACTCTGCGGGTATTTCGGTTATGTACGTAGGCCCAGTAGAGCGGCGGCTGGGGCAGCGCAGGATCAGCGGGGGCGGCCCAAGTGGGGAGCGGGACCTCGTCCTCGATCGCCGTCGACGACGATGACGACGCCGAGGACGAAGAGGAAGTTCCCGAAGTTCCCGGAGCTCCCACTGAAGCGCTCAGAGTCCGAGGCAAAAGTAGGGGGGCCCTTCCGGCCCCGGCGCCAAGGGAGTATGAGGTGGCCCGGCGCCGCCCCGCGGGCCTCTCCGTCTCGGCGGGCAAGATAGCTCCTCTCACGCGGTGCAAAGACCAGGGGGCCATTCGCCTGGAAATGCTTTGGAAAACGCTAACGCTTCCGATTTTATTTTGTTATTTCTGCCCGCCGAAGGTTTTCAAATACCTCAATCTCATTTTTTTATATTGTTATTACCAATGCAAAAGAAAAAAAAAGAGCGCGAGGCATTTGAAAACCTCAGGCGGCTAGAAATAACAAAATGAAATCGTAAGCGTTAGCGTTTTCCAAAGCATTTCCGTTAGGCGAATGGCCCCCCGGCCGGCGCCGTCACAGGCCGACGGGACGGCGGGGGTCCAGCAGCCGGCGAAGAGTCCCCCCCGGGGGGGGGGGGGGACACTCCGAACAGGGCGGGCAGGAAGGGGCCCTCCCGTGCACCATGTCCTCGTTGGGATCTCCTCGGAAGTCCCCCCATCTGTGGCAGAAAGTGGCCGGCGCGGAAAGGGGGCGCCTCGGCAGCGGCGAAGCCCTCGGCGACCGACGACGTGGAGGAGTGCGGAGAGGCGGGACAGGCCTCTGGCCCCCCGCCTCAGGAGCCCCAGGAAACCCCGGATCCCCGACCCGCCCCAGGTAATTGCCCAACTCCAGGAGTTGCGGTCCGCGATCACCTCAGCATTTCTCTGTCCTTACGGCACCTGGGGCTGGGGCAGCGCGGTCTCATCATCATGTCCACTTCGTAGGCCGGTCTAATGGCTGACTTAAACAATCACAGGGACACTGGAAGGCTGGTTATCACAACAGTGTTTAGTATACTTCAGTTGACATTATAAGTTTCTGTGTTAATGCAATTAATTCGCGAGCAGTAAGGTATAGCGTGCGTTCTTATGGCGACGCGGTACGAAACTGTCGCAAAGTAGGGTAGTTGGAAATAACGGGGTGTTTATCAAAATTTACGTCACCAGTTGGAGCCACTGTGATATGAGGTCTTTTGTATGAAGGTTTTGGCGCGAACTAACCGAACGAGCATATTTTTTTAAAGTATACTTTTTACAGCCTTTGCCTTTCCCATATTGGCCAGTCATTAGTGAAACGAGCATTTAAATCGATCCAGATACTATGAAAACATATGCAATTTGAAGGATGAGTAGACTTTCTCCTCAGTGCTGCCATCTAGCGCCCGTCATTCCAGGAAACCCCTCACTAGAGCGGTCCAAACATTGTTTACTATAATGAGACGCTAAGATATTAAATACCCTATATACACCAACACGAACAAAATCGTGGCCGAAACCTGTCCAAAAGGTACATTGGACGATCCACGGAGCTCCGTAAGATGATCGCGTAATCAAAAACAAAATAAGGCGTTACTGAAACATTGAAAGTCACCTTTAGTCTATACTGTATAAGGTCTTAATTGAAACGCATGCGTCAAAGAGTTTTGACAGTTCGAAATGCAAGCTAGTAAAATTTTACGATTTATTGCTATATGCGTAAGAATATAGACCTTATTTCTTTGACGCGTAATTCTGAATGCGCTTATAGCAATGTAGCAGGTACGGACCGCGAGGAAAAGACACGGCTGTATTACCGACCATGCATTTGAATATCACAAATATTTTCTATTAAATCAGTTTAAAGTAAGTATTAGATAAAGCTTCATTTTTTTTTCAATCCAAAATTTTCACGGCGTTCTGCGATAACTTGACTCTTCAACGGTCCGCGCGTGATTGTGAACCAAGAAGTGCTTGATTGGTGTTCAAGCACTTCTTGAATGGGACACATTTTGACCGCACGTACACCACGTGCGCTCTAGGGTATCTAGTAGGGATCTAGGGTAATTAATATTGTTGTTGAGCCGTCACAAAATCGTTGCAAACTTCACACTTGGCCGAATCAACAATTACACATAATAAGCCTTTTAATTGTTAATGTCTCATGTGTAGAGAAGAAATTGAGAGGTGCGGTGGGTTGAACTCATATGGCGACAGAATTCGAGTTTTGAATTAATAAAAGTAAACAATACATAGCTGTCACTGGTTCTTCGATAATTGGGCTAGTTTTTCTTGAGCAGATCCTGTAAAGAAAAAAAACATTACTATGTTATAACATTCAAAGGTAAATATGTCTTATGTTTTTTTTATCAAATTACATTTTGACACGGATTTAATTTTCCGTTTTTTTTTTTTTGTAATATGTTATCTTACTTAAGTCTCCAGGATTGGGACATTTTCTCATGTGTTCGGTTATGAGTATCTTGAGTAAAGATCTTTCCGCAGCTAAGGCTTGATTTGCTTCTTTAAGTTGCTTGATTTCACTCTCTTGCCGTTTCATGTTCTCCCTTAATCGAACCCTAGGAAAAGTATAAAATAGGTTTATTCAATGCGACTGTTAAAGATTTAAATTAGAAATAATCGAGTAGCAGATAGTAAAAAAAACGATGACACGGGGATATTTACAAGCTGCTAGTGAACTCGCTGGCTTGTAGCTTGTAAACTCGCCCAGTCTCATCGAGGCTTATCGTTCGTAAATCTTCGGCGGGAAACCTTGTACTGAAAAAACCAGTAACAAATTCAACAAGGGCAATTTTTCTCCCTGTTTTATTTCATACAGAGTCGTCAATTAAAAGATGACATCAAAACTTGAAAACATGTCATCATCATCATCATCAGCCTATTAATGTCCCCACTGCTGGGGCACAGGCCTTCCCTATGGATGGAATAGGGAGATTGGGCCATGACCCACCACGCGGGCCCAGTGCGGATTGGTGGGTGCTAACGACTGCAAATGCAGCCGGGACCAACGGCTTAACGTGCCTTCCGAAGTACGGAGGAGCTCGAGATAGTAAATTTTTGGTCACCCATCCAATGACCGACCACTGCGAAAGTTGCTTAACTTCAACGATCGCAGCCGAACGCGCTAGCCACCTGCGCCATCGAGCTCCTCATGAAAACATGTACTGCTGTCAAATTCCTGTAAACTCGCCCAGTCTCATCGAGAAAGAAAGAAAGAAAGAAAATATTTATTTGAACAACATGTGTAAGTAAGATGTTATGATTTTATGGGTGCATAACATGTCGTGCCGCTATGGGCATACAAATTCATTAAGTTATTTAAATTCTAAGTCAAAAATCTTAATATTCAATAATAAAACATGTCAAATTCAAATGATTCCAATTCAATAATAAAATGTCAAAATTAATCACAAAATAGAAATAATAATAATAAAACATAATTATAATTCAAAATTTGTCATTTAAAAATTGCGATACATCATAATAACATTTATTTAATAATATATTTTTAATTTTCTTCTTATATAAATTAAAATTTAATTCTTTTATATATGTCGGGAGTTTATTATATATTCGAGGGGCCATGCAGAATATGTTTTTTCCCATAAGAGCTGTTCTCGAGTTTGGCATGCACAACCTACTATTATCGCGTCTATTGCGATCTATAACATCTGCCATTCTAACGAAAAGATGCATGTTATCTTAAACCTTATCGTAAAACCTCAAAAATGTACATAGACGGAAGTGTCAGAATTTTATGTTTTAAGAAATACGGTTTACAGCTGTCCGTTATTTTTAAACCAAACATTGCTCTTATGCATCTTTTTTGCATTTTAAATGCTGTGTCTTTATCAGTAGAATTCCCCCAGAAGATAATACCGTATCTCAGAATTGACGCAGATAGACCATGATATGCGGTAAGCAGGGCATCTGTGTTCAATAAAGAAGACAATTTAAATAATGCATAGGCCGCACTACTGACTTTCTTACTAAGGTATTCTATATGAGATTTCCAATTTAATCTACAATCAATCATAATACCTAGAAATTTGGCACTTTCTACTTCGCATATGTCAAAATTCTGATAATCAATTTTTAGAGGTCGATCAATATTTATCCGTTGCTTAAATGTCATTAATTGGGTCTTTTCAAGATTTATTTTTAAATTATTATTATCTAACCACAAAATAACTGATGTCAAAGAATTTTTAATGTCATATTCATAAATGTCAGGATCGTTACATGGAATAGTCAAAGTACTGTCGTCAGCAAAAAGAGTAATTGGACAATTCACTGATTTAGGTAGGTCATTGTTCTTCCAAACCAGATTTAGGATTAATTTGTGAGATGACAGTATACTGTTTTCTATCGACTAAATAACTTTCAATTAGTTTCAATATATTTCCCCTAATGCCATATGCGTCAAGTTTTTTTAATAAAATGTCATGTTTTACGTGGTCAAAAGCTTGTGTCATGTCACAATATATTGCAGAAATAGGGTTTCTTTTGTCCATATTAGATATTACATTATTTAGAAATTCAAATAAAGCTTTGTTAATATTTTTATTTTGACGAGAATCGAGGCTTATTGTTCGTAAATCTTCGGCGGGAGACCTTGTACTGAAATATCCGGTAACAAATTCAACAAGGGCAATTTTACTCCCTGTTTTATTTCATACCGAGTCGTCAATTAAAAGATGACATCAAAACTTGAAACATGTACTGCTGTCAATTCCATCATATTCACAAAGGACTACATCTTAATTTCAACAAATTAATATAACTTACCTATACCGCCTCGAAGCAGCTACTCTACTGTCCAAATCTCTCTTCTGTTTCTTAAGTTGTTCATCTACAATAACACAATCGTCATCACCATTAATTGCTTTATCACTCACTTTACCATTACCAGCACGACTTTTCTTCTTTTCACTAGTCTTAGCGACAACTATATCGTCTATTTTTCTCTTAGCTGTGTTCTTAAATTCCTGACTCGCTTTCGGGTTGAACGGTGCTATCGGAATTTTATGTACAGGTACTGTAGCAGGGTTCAAAATTGTTATAGGTATCAAAGTTCCAGTAGTTATAGGCAATAAACCTTGCATTGGTGCTGGCACATTCGAAAGCATCTGCAAATTCTTCTGTGTCACTTTGTTGTTTATGGCTAATTTGAGTTTTTCTTTTGTTTTCTCATCAATTTTATATGTGTCTAAAGGATCTGTGGATATTTCATCTACCGCTTTCATAACCACTCGTCTACCAGTAGGCAGTTTGATTACGACTTCGTAATTATCATTAGTGCCATTGACTGGCGTCGATTTATTGGGAGCATCTTTGGCTTTGTCACTTTTACTAATCAAATTTGTGTCTGCAGTTGGATTATTAGCTACCGGTGTCAGTTTAGGTCTAGATTTGACAGTGCGACGGTTTTTCATCTTAACATCGGGTTTACATTTGTGGTTCCCGCATATTTCTGACGTAAGGTTGTTTATAACGGAATCTATAGATCTTTGGCTCATTATCGATGGTAGTTTGGGTTCCATTTCTGCTTTACTCGCTTCGGCTAAAAGGACATCTTTCATTGAAGTAGCGCTTGCATCTTTTGCAACCGTATCATAAGTTACTCTACTGGAAGGCGCGTTTTTAGTCGTTTCGACATTATTAAGATTGTCCTTCCTAATTTCTATGTTGTTCTGGATTTTTATCACATTATTCGTGTAGGAAACTGAAGTTTCATTGTGTACGTCTCTCTGGCGTGTATGTTCGTCAGTTTTGTGCGTCTCGTCTGTGTGTTTATCGATGATATCGTGTTTGTTGACCACGCGACTGATTGTCGTCACCTGATTGGTCAGTTTGGATATTGTTGTCGTTTCGTATTCTTTAATTGTTCCTGATTCGTCGCTTGATGATCTGCGAAAGAAATTCTTATTTGAAAAGTTCTTGAATGTTAAATTAGATATAATTTACAGAGTTTTGAGAGCATACACAAACACCAACGAATTAGAAAGAATATGGAATATGAACTGCGCTAAAAAGTGATTCCACGCAAACTGCGATCAAGTGGGCGGGGCGTAAAAACTGCGATTAGAACACCGATCATGAGATTGGTTGTGATTTCCGTTTAAGATTATCTTGACCAATGAATGGATAGCCGAATTGGAGATATTTCATTTGTCAAAGTATTTTGTTTTGACTGTGTGCCTGTCGCGTTACTTTTGAAGTTTACTTGTATGACTTTGGAACCATGTTTTGGCGGGCTTTGTTACAGAGTAATGCTCCTTTAACATTTCTAATTCGTTGAAGACCGACGCTGATTTTAAACGAACTATTGGATGTTGTAAAGAGAAGATATTGATCAATACAAACTTTATGAAAAAGAAATTAATATTAAATGAAAATTTCTTTATTGGGCATCTTAACAAAAGCATATGACAAAAATAAGAGTACTTATTGATCTATAGACGTGGTTGACCCTGACTCAACATAAGCTGACATAGTGAGAAAAGAAAATACTTCTCTCACCGGGTCGGCCACAGAAAACAGAAAGAGGTTAGAAGGTCCTTGTGGGCAGGCAGGCGTGCCACAGTTATGTGTGAGCAAATCCTTCAAACTTGACCAAAACTTGGTTCTGATTGCGTCGTTGCTCTGGGCTGTGAGCGCTGATTGGGTCGACTGTTTGATGTCGCGTCGTTTGATTGGCTATTATCTATTAAGTGGAAGTGTAGTGGGGGCGAGCCGGCGACCCGTACAAACAGTTTATGAGCAACTTTTCAACCTCTTTTTGTGTTCTGAGATATCGGGGCTGGTATTCTGGCAGGGCCTGTGCGAGGTCGATTTAATGGTGCCTAAAACATTTACCTAGAGTGTACGATGAAATCGTACATTTTGCTAGCAAAGGATTTTTAACCGCAAGTAATTATTTAGGTCTATATTTTACAATTTAAATATATTACTTAATTACACCCAAGTTAGTTCGCGTTTGTCCCAAGCAGTGTGCACACAGTTTCTTTCAAGTTTAATAATAAATATTTTTCGTCAAGTTTATCAATTGTTTTCCTGTCTTTGATATCAAGAAACAACAATTCAATGTACTTAGTTGCCAAAGGCTCGTACATAGAGCTTACCTGCTAATAGTGATGTTCTTGCGATTATTACTGGTGTATAGCGTTGCGTCGCTGCCATCTAATGTTGGGAAGACCATTTGAGGTGTATGGAGGTCATCGGATGTGGATGATGGTCCAGCGTTTTCCAAGGTTAGAAGACCATGCCTGCGGGAAGGACATCATAGTCATCATCTGCATATTGATGTCCCCACTGCTAAAACTCATAACTTACAAACTAGAGACAAATTTCCCGGTGTAGTTAACTACATGCATAAGAAGGCTCAAGGTCGCACAGCGGTAAATGGAGAGAGTGATGCTTGGTATTTCCGTGCATGGTAGAATCAGAAATGACAAAAAATTGCTGGAGAGCTCAAGTAACAAACAGCAGGTGACATCTTGAAAACCAGGGTACTGGTGTAGTGTAACGTGTTAAAAACGTTACATGGATCTCCTTCGCTCGAAGAGCGAGATAGATTTTTTTGGTTGTCTCTCTGGTCGTTTTTATCTCGCGTCCATTTTCTTTAATCTGTGCACTTTTGAATTATTATGTTTCTGCATTTATCAAGCAGTAGGCTGTATGGACGTTGTTCTCTTTGCCTTCCCGGCAAGAGAACACGAACTTGAGAAAAAACTAATGTCACTTTACTTCACGACCAAAATTTTTACGTAAAACATGTAAGATAATTAATCTAAATTGTTTAGTTGATAATCCATTGGATTGTCGATTGTTTTTAATGATGTAATATTTTACACCGTTTGCGCGGAATGTCGGCGATCACATTCCAAGCTTAATTTGTTTATAAAACGCGAAAAGCGTTTTTTTACTTGGATTTTTTTATTTGGATTTTTTATTCAAATTACAACATTTACCATGAGGTGGAGGTGAACCCACGGGATGTAACAACGGCCATCCCTTACATATTTGCAACACCAGACATATTTAACTCCAAAGATGCAACGAGGTCGGTAATCTTCTAAATTCATAATTGTGTATCGGCCCCCATATTAAAGGTAACATTTTCACTTACATCTTGGTAGCTTTAGTAAAGTTAAGTAGTTTCAAAATTTAGCAGTAACCCTTTTGGACCAGTAATTCTGTAGTAAATTTAAATAAATTGACAACCCAAAATGAATATGGATTCGCATTAAGCTCCCCTTGCGATTAATGGTCCATTGCTTTCCCGGCTAATAATATGGTACAGTCCAGGCGCCCGAATATTCTTTATTAATTGATTTCGGCCTGTCCATTTCAAAAATTTATTATTAACTATTACAATTGTCACCATTGCTTTTATTTTTTAATATTACAGTAGGTTGTGAAAATGAATAATTACCATTATTATCAACTAAGTGAATAGTTCTGGTTAACGCATTATGAGTTATTGCCATGAGGAGCTCGATGGCGTGGGTGGTTAGCACGTTCGGCTGAATCGTTGAAGTTAAGCAGTGGTGGGTCATTGGATGGGTGACCAAAAATCTTCTATCTCGAGTTCCTCCGTGCTTCAGAAGGCACGTTAAGCTGTTGGTCCCGGCTGAATCTGCAGTCATTAGCACCCGCCAATCCACCTGTGCCCCAGCAGTGGGGACATTAATAGGCTGATGGTGAGTTATTGCTGCAATGAATCATGATATAAAATGTTGGATAACATGTTTTATATATTTTTATGATGGTGATGGTGACTATAGTCAATATTGTTCTCTGTTCGAGTGTGCATGAAAAAATAAGTGGTAATCACTTGCAAGTCTCCATAGCCCTCTTGAAACCCTCTTCGAAAGGGTTCACATTCTGAAGATCCTGGAATAGCCCGACTTCCTCGCAGTTCCTTATGAATCGTGTTGGTGTCGGTGTCTGGTCAGCTGGAATCAATAAAGTCAAAAGTCACATCGTTACATTTGATTTGAATATGCATAGTTTCAGCAAGCAACAAATAAAACAAATGACAGTGTCAAATATTTATATAAACATAAAATCATTTTTTTTATTTTGGGAATTTATTGGTATAATAGATATAAAAACTATAATCCTATCTTCTTTTTCTCTTCATATTTAATCTTGCTACAAAAAGGAATATATACACTTTAATTTGCTCATTAAAATCGCTAGGTGTGTCTATGTGTACAAGATAAAAAGGCAGGAACAATTACTTAGTCTGCCAGGCTGAAATTGAGGCTTCCAAATTCATTCAATTTTAAGGACAGTTTCAAGTCTCTTCGGTGATTGTTGGTTCAGCCTCAATTTCATGATAACAATAAGTTAACTTTGGTCATGGCCCAATCTCCATATTCCATCTATAGGGAATGCCTGTGCCCCAGCAGTGGGAACATTAATAGGCTGATGATGATGAATAAGTTAACTTTAATCAACAGAAGGCAGTAAGGACCCAAATATTTATAAACATGCAGTATATCCATGTATTAAAAGGGAGACTGTTGTTAAATTAAGCCAAAGAATTGTATGAGAATAAGACTCAATTTGATGCACATTCATTGATAATAAGACATAGGTTCAATATTTTAAGGAAATTCTAGTTAAGTCTATAAACAGTTTCTTACAATTGAATGGCTTTGTAAATAATGTTCAAAATCTAAAGCTAAAATAAGAGTTCTTCTTTCAACTTGATATTGAAATGAAACTGTTAGTTAACATTTATAGCTATACAGATAATTTAGATATCTGTAAATGTGTAATTTAGCCAATCGACATCTTTATCTGACCTTAATCAACTGTAAGGTTCTTATTTCAGTATTAATAAGTGAAGTGAAATTCTATAGAAATATTGGATTATCAGAAAATGGTTAACAATTTCTATGGGTTGAATACTCAATTTACCAACAAATGCCGCTTTTTGCTCCAGCCCAAGTTGCAGATACATGTCGTGTTTCTTCGTATGCACAGTCAGATGATCTTCATTAGTAAAAGTCATCCCACAATCAGGTATCGTGCAGGCAAAAGGCTTCTCAGGCTCGTCCATTATGGCACTTATTATCGGCCAGACCAGAGATGTGTAAACAAAAAGATTTTGCTACTTTTCGAACCATGTAAATACTACGGGGAAACCCAACTTGGTCACAACACGATAAGCTCCTGAATATGTGTAATCACCGCGCGCACGAATTATACTCATATGCTCTAGACCTTGTATAGTTTAGATTTATCTTGACTTCGTCAGTATTAACAAGATAATTCATTTACGAAACAAAATTTTTAGTCGTCCGCCCATTCACATTGTATCATCACAAAATTTTGACACACATCTGTCACTGTCAGTCAGTAGTAGTGAGGAGAAAAATTAATCCACAAAAGAAACTATTCAATTATTTCATTCGATAGTCAATTAATTGATATTTCGGTAGTAAATATATTTAAATAGCTAAGTTACATACAACATACATTTTTCGATATATTTACATCCTTTACAAGGTTAATATTATCATATAGGTATGGATTTCAAGTATTTAACTGCTAGATATTTAATATAATGAAAATTGTACCAGAAAATCCACTTATTCCTAGTTTCAGGCGGGATTTGAACCTGCAGTAACGCATAAGTCTGCTTTAAATAAGTGATTGAATGAATGAAATTGTAAACATGAAATATATTTATTAACAGATCATTATTAACAAAACATTAAACTCAAACATTACAATAATAACAAATTTAAAAAGTACCTAACACAGTATAATTTATTACAAAGTAATATATTTTATTTTATAGTTAATGATTACAGATTAATTAATAGTAAATTGCAGGCTAATTTATTTTGGAAGTTTGAAGATCTTTAACACTATTAGAGAAATAAGAAGTGTATCTTTCAGGGGAATAACCAATTATTTTACCCTGACGGGGTTGGTTGTTGTAAGATCCTGATTCTCTAAATAATCCCCTGTCGAAGAGTGGATACACAGTAGATCGCTTCTTCCTGGGAGAATCTTGCATTTGCTGTGTTGGGAAGGGGTCTACATATCTTCTTCCATTAATATCGTTGCCATCCGCTGTCGGGAATATCGTTGGCTATTAATAAAACATGGACGTTATGAGACTCTCTCTTATAAATCATATTATAGTTAGAACATAGAAAATAAAATGACAAAGATACACAATAATTAAGTTATACAAGGTAATATGACCTTTAATATTCAATTAATTAAAAGAAAAACAATGCTGATTAATAAGGTTTACATGTCGAGTAATGTAATTTACTTTCAAACAGTCTTTAAATCAATAAATCGGTACTCTTTTCACACACTATTTCAAAATGATATTTATTTATTCACCAATGATTGTCATTAGATTTTGTTATGTTTAATCAGCAGCTAATAATTGTCTTGCTTGCCTGCGCCACGGCTGTTGAAGATACCAGGAGCGGATTGGCCTTGTTGTTCTCCTCCAACTGGGCTCTGCGGGATGCCAGCCATTCCAACTACGGCCGGGTTCGGCTCATTTTGCTGTCCCTTCCAAGGCCTAAATTATTATTTTATTATGTATAAATTATTTTTATGCCATTATGTGGTTTACTGCTTAAATCTTATTCTGCGCGGATTTTTAAATAATGTTTACTGTATTGATGAAACTAATACGCAGACTTTCACATTGATAATAATTAGAAGGTTACTAATCGGAACTGCCATATAGTAGTGTATCAAAGTCGTTGAAAAACTTACTTATCAGGAAATAGTTCACCAGGTTGTCCCCTAGTTTGAACAATTCTTTCACCGTTCAACTCAACAACACATCTCAACCTTGCGCAGCATGTTGGGAACTCTGGAAAATAAATTTTAGGAAACAGACAAAACATTATATTTACACATTTTTTCTGTTATAAATACGCACCAACGTTTTCATCTTCAATATATTCATGGCATTCTAATGCATTTTCTGGGATCTTAGGCTTCCGACAGCTGAAAAGTAATAATTTAAAAATACAGATTGATCACGAACATACGTTGATCACTACGGTTAATGAACTTCATTTTAAGTATTTCAGTGAAATGTCTAATAATGATTATATTTTCAAATATACTGCGAGAACATTCTCTGGATAACATAGCATATGACATACATGTGATGTCATACGTTTGTCCTTAATGTTGATTGAATACTAAAACGAAATACTTTAAACACACTTTAGATAAATTATTCCTTAGATATATTTGATATACAATAGAACGTTTACCCAACAGCTGCTATAAAGAACTTTCCATCTCTTATTTCACATCTATATCTATGGCAAGTATAATGATCAGACCATTCTTGCCAAGGTTGGTAGCCTTTTCTCGAATATTTATCAACGCAAGCTTGATCTGTAAAAATACTGATTATCATTAATGAAAACAAATGGACTTAGCTGCTAGGGTTAATGCTGAGCTGTTTTTACGTCGTATCGTCCTAAAATCACGATATTTTGCTTTTAATTCTACACCACCTATTTCCTTATCACAAATAAATAAGGTATACCGTAAACTTAAATCAGCCAAAAATCTTGGAAAAAACACGTTTTACTTACAGCTTACATCTTCAGCAAATATCGCTGGTACTATCAGATAAACCAAGAAAATCAATCCACTCAGCTGCATTTTTACGGTAATAATAGTACCTGAAACAGTATTTTATAGCTCTACTTGATCTTTACTTATCCACCTCTTTCGAACTTACAACTCGTTCTGCATGAATACAGAGAGTTTTCGGCTAGTTATACCAGTTTCAGCTGTTGATTATTCGACAAACACGGAAATGTAATATCCGTGGGTAAGAAAAAAGTTAAATATTATGTGAATCATACAGCTATCCATGTCATGCATCAACAAACAATTCGAGCAGGACTACTTAGTGCCATTTTGTTTATCGATATAGTTACATACACTTTAGAACACATTTTGTGTACGATTAACCTATCAAAATACTCACATAATCATGTACTACACCTATACAAAAAATATGAAGAAATCTTTCTTACCTTACCATTATACCAAAAGTAAAAATAATTGAAGTTAGTATCTACACCTTCTGCATTTTTAATAATTGGTCATTAATGTTTAATACTAAAGTAAGTCATATGAGGAAAATAAAATATACATACCCATTTCTTTTCCTTTCTCCTCTACTTAGTCACTCAACACAACACAAGGTATCTCAATCAAATGCATAAAAACCCATGGCTACTTGTTCACTCACTGGTTACTGTTTAAAAGGTATATTCTTAGAAAACCATTGTATTACATTACCCTGTTATCGTGATGTTTTCATTTCAGTTCATTTCTGCTTAATCACATTTCTTACAATAGTACAGCTTCACCCATAATTCAACTGTGTCATATTAAATTGGTACAAAAATCAGTTTTATATGCGATATAGAGTATTTCAGATGCGTAAAAATAATTTACTACAGTTGTTATAAAATATTATCTCTCATAATACTAATCAATTAATTCAAGTATAAATCGATTTTTATATTCAATTGTTTTCCTACATGAAATGAAACATTAACATTGAAAATAATAACAAAACGCACGCGTAACAACGTGATGTACATAACATAATTTACTATATGTTGTTCAAACGAAACGTTACCTGACATGTCAGACAACAGAAAACCAAGCAAAGTGGGTGTTTTTTAAAAAAATATTAAATTTAATAATACAATTCACTGTTTAATAAATTAAACTAATGTGTTACTGTTTAAGACGGTGTTAGCTATGAGGTAAGTCCACTTCAATTTATATTTGTGGTCGTAATGTTGAATTAATTTGGTTTTGTAAAAAGAATCATGGTAATTTCAATAGTTATTTGAGAAATCTTTGTTATTTTAATGTTTTTTAAATTGTACAATAGAAATTCCTTCATATGAAATATCCTTTGAATGTTAGCTTTTAAATAGCTCTGAATACATAATAACATATAATTTTGTTTACCCTCCACTAGATATATTTTTAATTACCTGTGGGTCATGGTCACCTTAAATAATGTACCAAAATACCTATTTAATCTTTTGACAGTTATTACCCTTTATATTACTTAAGCAAGTAAGGTCATCCCTATTCACTAAGGGTGAGGTAGAGAATCACTTATTTGCTATTAATAAGTACTGTACTGAGCTCCATTCTGCCGTCTTCAAACTAAAACGCGGCTAAATGACAAAAACAACTTATGAGATATTGCCAAAAAACTGCACGTAAACTTTAAATTATTGCTATTTTGTAACCATTCATCACATAACGGATTTTTAGACTTAAACTATAAAAGATACAAATACTTGGTATAGACAGATGGATAGAGAATTAAAAACTGTATATGATGCATTTTAGGACTGAAAAATCGACCACATGTCACTTAGTACCGCATTTTAGTTTGAGGACGGCAGCATTGCTCTGCTTACCCAAAATAAAGTCCATTTTTGGATTTTCAGATTGTCACAAATTTTATTGTCAAAGATTGTCCACAGTTATTCTGTTTCTTAGTTCTCAGATATTTTGGAAACAGTTTAAAAATATCTGATAAATGAGAAAATAAGTTTTGTTAGTTCCTACTAATTTTCATCATTAAATTTGTTACTCTTAATAAAATGGCTGAACAGATTTGGATGAAACTTGCCGCACATGCAATTTATTACCTGGATTGAGACATAGGATGTGATTACATTGCATTAGGTACGTAAGTGAAATTCTCTGTAACTGAAGTTAATTCAATCAAGTCTAGATAGTGAACTGAAGTTAGTAATCTTAACTCAAGCTGAGCTGTCAATAATGTGGTTAATATTAAATATTTCCAACCCTCACACCAATTAGCCTAGCCCCAAAGTAAGCACTGTAGGGTAACGGTTAGAATACATATACTGATACTTATATAAGTATATTTATATAGGAAAATATATTAAATATCCATGACTGGAGTACAAATGCTTGTAGGGATTCAAACCCCAGACCTCTCGAGTCGGTGACACTATGAAACCCGGCATACAAACCACTCAACCACTGAGGTTGTCAAAAAACTGCTAAGTTTAGTTTTTAGAATGCCATCAAAAAGGGTGGGAAAGTATATTTATGCCTTTTTTGGTAGTTGTGCTAAGATTTCCTCTGTGATCAAGTCATAACCTGGGCTTTGTTATTTTCCAAGTTCTAAATAGTTCTTTTTTTTTTACGCATTTAACTGCTAGTTGTTAAAATCCAAAGAAAAGTTTACTAGAAAAACTTAATAGTTTTTTTAAGTTCATTTTTAGTGACAGGCCTCGGAGGAACAGATAGCTGAAAGTCCTGATTCAGTATTGCATCTATTTCCTTTTCTGCTTCAACACAACAACTCTGATTTATTATTATTTTTATTTTTTTAAGCATGTAATTGCTTGATATTTAAATTTAAATAAAATATTACTGGAACATATTCCAGTACCAGGGGGAGCAGGGTGCAGGTTCGTGTCCCGTCTGCTTCTATTATATTTTCTTGTAATACTTTCTTTAGATTTAATCTCTGATTTGGTTTAAATACCTCCGAGAGATGTTTCACAAACGCTTCAGCTTTTGACTTTCCACATCTTGCTCAGCCAGTGCTGGTTCTAATTGGGTATCTTGAATCTTGTGGTCTAGCAAGTGGTGGTGGTCTAGCAACTATGGTAGGTAGTTAATATAATAATAAATAAATAAATATTTCCGACACTCACACCAATTAGCCTAGCCCCAAAGTAAGCACTATAAGGCTTGTGTTATGGGATGCTAGGGTAACGGATAGAATACATATACTGTACATATATAAGTATATTTATATAAATACATATTAAACATCCATGACTGGAGTACAAATGCTCGTGTTCATCACACAAACATCTGCCCCCACCGGGATTCGAACCCGGGACCTCTCGAGTCGGCGACAGCCATGAAACCCGGCGTACAAACCACTCGGCCACGGAGGTCGTCAATATAATAATAATATTTATTTTTATTGGCTTGAACAATAATGTGATCTTAAACTAATACCATCATTTCCTTTTAAGTTTAAATAGCCTGTGTCAGGAGATACTGCTCTTCCTTAAAATAGATAGTATAACATTCCAATAAATTCCAACAACTGATGACCATAAAGCATTTGTCATCAATCATTAATGGTCAGTAGTTAAAGATCACATTATTGTTGAAGCCAATAAAAATGTATTATTATATCCTGTGGTCTGTGTAAGCAAAAAACTGTAGAACAAAACGTTAAAAAGTTTGCACAAAATTTTAAACAATATTTATTGAATAAAACCTTCTATAGTATGCAAGAGTTTTTTGTTGAAAGGTAATTGTAAACTAAAATTTTAATGTGATTGATTATAATTATGTGTATTTTGTTTATTTTATGTATATTGATATTGTAGTGCCCTTACAGGGTTCATGTTTGGATCTGACTGTAAATCTTAAGAACTTGTAATTACCACAAGAAACAATAAATATTATATTGAATTGAATATGGGGAATTTTTTTATGCATAATAGGCAAGGCGTTTTACCACAATCTCGCCTGATGGAAAGCGATGATGAGGCCTAGGATGGTACACGCCTGCCTAGAAGATGCCTGTTCACTGTCACCTTGAAGATGTCCAGATTATGTTGGTCCGAGAAAACAGACCTCGGCAAGGAGTTCCACTACCTAGCCATTCTCATAACGATGTGTTGTGATAATCGAAATTTTTCTATTCCATGATCTCAAATAATATGCAATTGATTTCTTTTTCCAACCCGACCTGCGCATGACCCGATTCCCTGCTACGTGAATTGGGTACCCCAAGCACGAACAACTAATGAGAAAGTATTCGTATCGCCGACGTCAAAGTTTTTATGGAAAAGTCTACTTTTCTTTACGTCCGATAGGGGCGCTGCTTGCTGCTTAGTTTCCATAGAAACTTTGGCGATGGCGATACGAATACGAAGGCCCAAGCACAAGTTTTGACAGCTCCGTAATCGTATCGCAACGGACGTAAGTTTTGTACGCGATACTTTTAGTCCGTCGTGTGCTTAGATTAAAACAAAAACTAAAGATACGGTACGCTCATTATCCCTAACATCAAATAAAATATGATCCGACCCATTAATAGGCAACTCTCACACACGCTCTCGTCTGTATATAAACATTCAATCAAACGAGTGAGACAGAACTGTACGCTTCAACGCAGCGCGAGCGAAACGGCGAGTCCGCTTCCGAGTCCGTACGGCTAAGCTGTATTGTTGTCCTTTTCTCGATAACAAAATGGCGATTACGTAAAAAACATTCTCGACAAACCGTGATTTTAGAGAAAAAATGTATTTTACAGTTTTATGAATTAAAAGTGTTGCCGATTCATTTGTTATTTGATTTTGAACTATTTGTGTTCTTTATAAAAACACTAAGGGCATTGTTTTATCTTTATAACACAGAATATACACAATATTGTTACATACAATCATCTACATGGAACCAACAACAGAGCTGGTGCGGCTTGCGAAGCGGCTGAAAAAGCTAAGGCATGCAAATACAGGGGTCTAGGCTCCGAATGTGATTTTGTCCCATTCGGTGTCGAGACCCTTGGTCCGTGGGGTCCTAGCGCTGTAAGGCATTTTAACGAAATAGCAAAAAGGTTGGTCGACATCACAGGAGACCGAAGAGCTGGCAGCTACCTCGGACTAAGAATTAGTCTAGCTATTCAAAGGGGGAACGCTGCCAGTATCTTTGGAACCTTGCCTAAAGGGACTCCTTTTAATAATGTATTTTAGTTATTATATATTTTAAGGTTTTTAGTTATAAATATCTTACTATTTGTTCTTTGGTTAAATTATTAAATTAAATAGTCTTGAAATTAAAGCTTATATTGTTATATTGAGTGTATATGCAGCGTGTTTGTATGTCCAATTGTGACTAAAGCGAATTGTGATCAAGTACCATAATTTAAGCGGATCACTTTATAGCCGTGAGTGCCGTATCTTCCCTTTTCGTTTTAATCTAAAGTCGTCTGCGTTACTCGATGCGTTTGTAAGCGATCTATTTTGGAGGACAAAAGGCTTCGTCCGATAGTTTCTCGTCCGCGCTGGCCATATTGAAAATTAAGCGATTTTAAAATCGACCGTGAAGCCATTAGGCCAAACGAAGAAAGTGTTTCATCCATAATGGCGGCACTCGAAAGCCTTACGTTACTTAAACAAGTGTCGATAATTCGATAATAATTGCTTTAGAATACTTTCACTTTCGAGTGCAGAATAATGGCGCAATTACATTTGGTAGTTAGAACGTTTCGGGTGCACGAAAGACATTATTCGAGTTCGGGCATCCGAAGCAATGTTTACGCTGGAATACGGGCTGGAAGATGGGGCGGTGTCGGGTTAACGGGTTTGATGCGAAGTGCGAAATGCGAATGGGGCAAATTCGCATTTGTTCCCATTCGTATTTTGTCCCATTCGCATTTGGTCCCATTCGCAAATGGTCACACACTTAGATAAACTAAGGCCCGTATTACAGAATGACAACTAAGTATTGATCTTTACTTGAGTACAGTTAGAAAGGGATGTCGCTATGTGTTATATATAGCGACATCCCTTTCTAACTATGCTCAAGACTAGATCAATCACTGTGAATCTTTCTATAATACGGGCCTAAGAGTTGTTTAACATTTTCATAATGGTGGTATGTTTGAAAAGAAAAAGATGCAGCTTTTAATAATTACCTACGTTTATTTGTTGTTGTATTTGTTCATTTACACTTA